GGATCTCAGATTTGTCTAGAGCACAGATACATCAATATGTTGATGTTAAAAATACATATTACTGCAATGTATATATGTCTGTAGAAGATGTATGTAATTAGAGTTGTGTAATCTGTAAGTCAACTTCTCCATGATTAGTTTGTTTGTTTCATTTTCAAAAAGTAGGATGTTTGTTTGATTGATGTGTGAGTGATACTCGATGTAATAATAATAATAACAATAATAATAATAGGTTTATTGTCCAACAGTTATCCATTTACAGGACAATATAAAATGAACAAAAAAGAAAAACTAATTCTAATTATCTACTTCAAGTACATTTTGGCATTTCTAATAATGTTGTGAAGGTTAAAGAAGAATAAATCACCATGGGCACAAATGCTATTGAAATTTGTGCACATAACATATATTGGGGAATTGAGCATAATGTTAGTTCTTGCTCTGAGAGATCAGATCGTGAAGCTAGACATGGTACATGAATAAAAATATGAGCGACGCACATTTTCTGCGATGCTCTAAACTAAAAAGTTCCAAACGTTCATATATGACATCATTCCTGATGCCTCTCTCAGGGTAAGAACCATATATTCTGAAAATTAGAAATTTACAAAACTTCCTTTGAACTCTTTCAATGGCTGTTATGAATCTCATAGAATGGACTCCAGACGATAATTGCATATTCTATCTTCGAACGTACGTAGGTGAAATATAACAGCTTCATGGCTTTAATATTATGAAAGTTTCTGCAATTTCTAACAATGAAACCATAAACTCTGAGAGATTCTGTAACTTTTTGTGAAATATGTCTACCAAATTTTATTTTATGATCGAATAATACCCCTAGGTCTTTGATCTCATTATATCCCAGTAGATCTGAATCTTGTATTACATACGGGAATGTATAAACCTCTTTTTTCGACTATAACTCACTACTTTACATTTCTACACATTGAGTTTCAATTTATTATTGCTACACCAAGCAACAAGAAATTCTAATTGAGATTGAAGATTTACACAATCACCTACTTCCTTGATTATAGAAAATAATTTCAAGTCATCCGCGAAGCATAACCGCTCAAAGCTAAACTTTCACATAAGTCATTATTAAACAATAAAAACAAAAGAGGACATAGGTTGGAGCCCTGAGGCACACCAGAAAAAGCTATATATGTTCTTGATTTATAACCGTTATAGGAGACGAATTGTTTTCTATATGTCAGATAGGATTGCATCAGTTGAGAGGCAGTATTCGAAAAACCAAAACTCATCAGTTTATTGAGCAAGATACCATGATGAATTTTATCGAATGCTTTAGAGATATCCGTGTATATAACATCAACTTGGCCATTGTTATCTAATGCCTCGGTAATGAATTGAGTAATAATGACTAGATTTGTAACAGTAGAACGCTTAGTAACAAATCCATGTTGATGTTGAGATAGTTGCCGTTGAACAGAAGCATATATGCGATTATATAAAATAATCTCAAAAATTTTAGAAAACATACATGAAATACATATGGGTCCGTAATTCTCTAAATATGATTTTTCACCACTTTTGTATACAGGACATACTTTAGCTAATTTCCAAATATCTGGGAATGTTCCAGATATCAGACATGAATTAAAAATGCTCGATAAAGGTTTTGCCAATGCTCCTGCACAATCCTTCAACAAAAATGATGGGGTTATATCTAGGCCTGATGTCATTTTGTCCTTTAGTTTTTCAGTTGCAGATACAACCTCATTTTCTTGAATGGGGTAAAAATGAATATGAACATTATTATTCACTGTACCAACTTCGTTCAAAAGTGAGCCAGATTTTGAATACACCTCACTGAAAAAATTACTGAAGGCATCAACAATATCTTGGGGATTCTCGAGTTTGTTTCGCAAGTAGGTTACTGATCCTGGTATTCTTGTACTGTTAATCTTAGAGTGAACATATGACCAGAATCTGCTAGGATCTCTAGACAACATTGTTTGTATGTTTGCAAGATAGTTATCATGTACGGTTTTTATTTGGCTTTTAATCAAAGCACGCAAACGTTGGAATTCAAATCTATCCTTATCACGTCTAAATTTCCTGAGTTTTTTTCTGAATTTAGCCTTCTGTTTAATGCTCTTTATGATATCAGAATGAAGCAATTTAGGATAAACATGATTAAAATTTTTGAATTTGGGTATATGATCCTCAAAAATGCCATATAAAATTGAATATAGGTTATCGACTAATTTATTAACGTCCTTGGACGTACCTAAATTACTCCAATCAGTTTCCTCTATCTCTCTGTACAAAGATGGAAAGTTCGCTTTCCTAAAGTTATATGTGATGTTTGATTGGTTTAACCTGAAATTCTTTTCTTTGATGTGTATATCAGCTATTTCGATACTTAATGCAGGATGGTGGTTATCTTCAGGTACAAAACACTAATTTTCATGGGTAACTTAACAAGAAAAAGGTGAAAAAACTGAACATTCTGTTCAGGTAATTATTTATTCAGTTTGATTGTTTATACTCAAGCATGTCAAAGTGGTTGAGGGTTATACGTGTTTTTGGATCATGAATATCCCTTTCGATGACCTTCGGAACATTGAAATTGACAAAAAAAATTGAATTACCCTCATATAAATAATGTAACTGTTCCAAGGCATCAAAAAAACATTCAAATTCAACTAATCCAATCGTATCAGGAATAAACAAAGCTACCAAGGAGAATGTTTCATGCTCCACATGAAATTTAACTATTAACATATCAATCAAAGGAAACTGTATATTAAATATATCAATATCCATTACTTCTGAATCTATGGAGTCCCTCGAAGCAATTAATACACCTCCCCCTGTTACCTTATCCACCATTTCCAGTTTGTGATCTTTTAGATGTACACAGTAAGCGCTTGTAAAGGGTTCACAATTTGAAACATCCTCACGCAGCCAGGTTTCAGTTAACACTATCAAATCAATTTCACAATCACTGACAGCTGCGTTGCATGAGTCAATTTTACTGTTGAGACCCCTCACATTCTGATAATAACATAAGATGCTGCGTTGGTTTGGTTCACTATAACTGCTGGACGCATTTAGTTTAGAGCTTTAACTATTCTGGGGTTACCATTAACATTCCTAATTATATACTTCTGTAGACCCCCGGCATTTTTTGCATCAATTTCCTTGTTCAGCTTCCTGTACTGTTCCATTTGTCTACGGGTGCGTTCAAACGAAATAGATATTCCCTTATATGGAGTATTTTGCAGGTTTTTTTGCTTTTCTTATCAGATCAAGGACCTGTAATTCATTCTGCAGCACTATTTTCACAAAACGATTTTTTTTCTCATGAAATCTACCCAGTCTAATTGGTTTCAAATTCTGTTATTGGAAGTGTGGATCAACTGTCTCCAGTACTTCACATACATCGAAAACATCTTTATCTAAACGAGTAATGTACCTATTGCGATTGTTTCATTAAGGCGAAACATCGGTGTATACCAGTGAGGGTGACAGTGTTCCATGTGAGTACAATTTATTACCATTCATTCAAAGTAGAACTCATGTGAATGATATCTGATTCTCATTCCACAACAAATGTTTGAAATACAAACTGAGTAGAGAAAAGTATCTTGTGTATAATTCAGTGTTCATATAGAAGTATTTGTTCCGAAAGAATTTTTTTCTTTCGTGTTATTCAATGTTTATATGAAAATAGCTGTTTCAGGAGGACTTTCTTTCAGTTTGTGTCTGAAAGTTATTTTTTGCATGATCTACACATCCATGTATAGAGTTACTTATTTTCAAATTGATTACTTCCTTCCATTCTTTGGAAGATTCTCTCATCCCTTTTGTTTTGTATCAGATGGAGTAGTAGAAAGCCAAAAACTTTTTTTCCCAAAAATTAATCACTTCTAAAAATATAATCCCTTCAATTCAAATAAGATTCCTCGTGGCTGGGATTGAATCAAATAGGTGAATAAATGTCATTACGATGTCATCGATGACATAAGCAGATCAAGCTTATTCCGTGACATTAAAAATCGTATTTCATGAATGAAGTGTCTGTATTTCCTATATTGTTATCCAATTTGGTACTGAAGAGCCTTAGGGCAAGTGTCTTGAGGCGAAACATCGGTGTATACCAGTGAGGGTGGCAGTGTTCCATGTGAATACAATTTATTACCTTTCATTCAAAGTAGAACTCATGTGAATGATATCTGATTCTCATTCCACAACAAATGTTTGAAATACAAACTGAGTAGAGAAAAGTATCTTGTGTATAATTCAGTGTTCATATAGAAGTATTTGTTCCGAAAGAATTTTTTTCTTTCGTGTTATTCAATGTTTATATGAAAATAGCTGTTTCAGGAGGACTTTCTTTCAGTTTGTGTCTGAAAGTTACTTCTTTGCATGATCTACACATCCATGTATAGAGTTACTTATTTTCAAATTGATTACTTCCTTCCTTTCTTTGGAATATTCTCTCATCCCTTTTTTTTGTATCAGATGGAAAGCCAAAAACTTTTTTTCCCAAAAATTAATCACTCCTAAAAATATAATCCCTTCAATTCAAATAACCTAAATGTTTTGATGTATATTAATTATATGTAATTTCAATGTGAAATCTGTATACAATTTTTCCAGTGCTTTTTTTGTTCATATTGAATGTTTTCATTTATATTAACTAAATGTGATTTTATTGTAATATCTGTATACAATTTTTCAAGTGTTTTTTTCAGTTCATACTGAAAGAAACTTCATTTTTATGTTTCATTCATTATACTCTATTGTATATCAAAATGATATAACCCACGCACAGGTTTATCCTTCCGTGGGAACTATATTTATTTGTCGTTAACTAAGATTATTGTGTATTCCAAATTGAATGGTAAATCAAAAATATTATTATTATTAAATAACAGCAAAATCGTACAGCTGCGCTAAGGCTCATGGACTATATTTGTAAGTCACTGAAGGCCATCGTATCCCCGTCACAGTGTCGTGTCGGCTATCGACAATACCGGCACATGCCAGGTGAAAGACAGTCGAAGCGAACTTAGAAATGCACTCTCGCTCTCTTTCACGACACTTTCATCACCCAGCATAAACTCTCATTATTCAGTAACTATACAGCTAGATATGCTTAGTACCGTTTCCAAGAATGTGCAAGTATAAGAAAATGTGTTCAATAAACAAAAAGTAGTTACGACATTAATAAAAACTTATCTAATCAGTCGATATTATTGGTTTATTTGATAAGATTCTGAATGAGTCCTCCAGTTATTCCAAACAGTCGTGTGTGCTATCAAAGGTGAATGAAAAGTGAGAAAAGTGAAGAATGAAAGTGGTTGTGAGAACTGTTCTACATGAATCGGACCTGGAAGCGGTTCCAAGAACCTCAATTCGCGAAATATTCTCCTTGATCAGCAAGTCTTTGGGAATACAGGAAGTATGGTACTTTGGGCTTATGTATTATGGACACGATGCTGAAGAAATTTGGGTGGAACAATCTAAAAAGGTGAGGTGGCTTTCGAATTGGATAATTGATGTTGTCACATTCCTTGGCACTCCTTTCTTGATTATTCGTACGTTATTTTTTATTGAAACAATTCAACGAATCAACCTAATCACAATTTATCAATAATAGAAATTTTAATACAGATATTCAACTGGTCGAAGACTTATCAATATTCAAAGTACTCAACTCGTACAGATTTTGTAGCTCTGAACTCATTTTAGAAAAAAAACTGTATTACTTCATAATATACTGGTGAAGGGATATATTTCTAGAAGAAACACATTTTTGAAAAAGAAAAGTTTTGGTTTTTTATTGCATCTTCGAAAAGAAAAATTTTGAAGTCTTCCACAGGAAGGTAATTTTAAAAATAATTTCCCTCACAAGGATGTGTTGATAATGCAAAGAAGTAACTTTTATACAGAAACTGAAAAATAAACCTGCTCGAAACTACTAATTTCGACACTGTACTACATTGGAATATACGAAAGAAAAAGTACTTTCGAAACAACTACTTCTATATAGGGCATTCCACCAAAAACTTCACCCCCCCTGTAAGTCAGAAATGGGCGTGTAATCGAAAATTTCAAAGAACACATCAATTTTTATTTCTAGGAGGACTAATTCTGATATGGATTTCATACCCAAAACTTCACTCCCCTGCGGTCATCAACAAACCCCTCTATTGTTTTCATGGGGGGTCAAGTGATACATCATTTGAAAGGTCTATTGTTTCTCTATTACTTCCATGATTTTTTTCGAAATTGGTTCATTCATTATTGAAAAATTAAATGTTGAACGTTTTATTTGAGAAAAAACAGAAAATTCGCTATGGTTCATTTTGATGAGGAAATCGACAACAAATAGTATCAGTGGAAACAAATTCAACGGATAAATTGTTCAAAAGCAAAAGCGTTCCGTACATTATTCAAGATGTCCGTAGTCAGAAATCGGCAATCCTGAACAATTCTCTGTCGCAGATCTTCTGTTTAAGGTATTGATGGCTCAAGTTGTGGGCTGGATGATTCATATTATAAATTCTTGCAGCAGCTTTAGCATTGATTATTTCGATAATAGGTTGCAACAATTTCTATCATTTCTTCAGTAGAATAAACCATGTTAGAAAACAGTGAACAAGGATGACTGAATAATAATTCGTGAAGAAGTGACAGTGGCCAACTATCTACTTTTAGTTCTGCGACAACTAGATTGAACAAAAACTACAAGTGCAGAAAAAACTTACAGTGTCGTCCGATTCAAAACGTTTACTGGGTACTAATTAAATAAATTCTTCAAATAAAGAACACCTGCGACAGAGAATTGTTCGGGAATGCCGATTTCTGACCCGGGCGTCTTCAATAATGTGAGGAACGCTTTCGAAAGTAGACTGTATTATTATGTGGAACTAGATGGGGATCATTTTGAACACTTCAATCCTTGATTGTGTTGCTATTGATATTACTTTTGTTGATTTCCTCAATAAAATGAGCGACAGCGAATATTCTGTTTTTTCTCAAATAAAACATTCAACATTCAATTCCTCAATAACGAATGAACCAATTTCGAAAAAAATTACAAAAGTCATAAAGGAACAAAAGATCCTTAAAATGATATATCACTTGACCCTCCATGTTACTGAAAAAAATAGGGGGGGGGGTAGTTGCTGACCGCAGTGGGGTGAACTTTCTGGTACGATTTCCATATCAGAATTAGTCCCTTTTTTCTGATTAATTCGGCCGTGACTTGATGAAGATCCAACGGGTGTGGATTTATCCACATCAACAAAGTACACTGAGAAAAAAATATCGAATTATTATGTTTTCATTTATCGACCCTGCACACCTACCATTTTTTAGTATGATACTCTTATTGACTGAATTAGTAAAAAAAAAGAACTGTCCTAGTTTATTGAACTGTCTGAAGGGGTGAAAATAGGGTGGAAATATTTAAAAAAATCGTAACATAAAATATCGACTTTGTACACTTACTAAATTGAGGCAAGTTATTCCTGATGATCTATTCGATAAGAAAAACTTCACGTTATAGTTTTTCAGGCCGTCTGAGGGGGTGAAAATGGGGTGGAAATTAGAAAAAATCGTATCTTAGAAAATTGAATGTGTACACCTACAAGTTAGAGATGAGTTATCCATGATGATCTATTCGACACAAAAATATGCACGTTATAGTTTTTCAGGCCGTCTGAGGGGGTGAAAATAGGGTGAAAATATAAAAAAAATTCTTAACATGAAAAATCGACTTTGTACACCTACAAAATTGAGATATGTTATTTCTCATGATCTATTCGATGAGAAAAACTTCACGTTATAGTTTTCCAGGCCGTCTGAGGGGGAGAACATGGGATGAAAATATCAAAAAATTTCTTAACATGAAAAATCAACTTTGTACACCTACAAAATTGAGATATGTTATTCCTGATGATCTATTCGATAAGAAAAACTTCACGATACAGTTTTCCAGGCCATCTGAGGGGGTGAAAATGGGGCGGAAAATTGAAAAAATCGTATCTTCGAAAATAGAATATGTACACCTACACGTTGGAGATATTATGTTATTCCAGATGATCTAGTCAACGGAAAAACTTCACGTCATGGAATTCATTCATACTTGTAATTTGAAATATTTCATTTTGACTGATTTAACATATCAAAATAAATTGCGTGATCCTGCAAAAGAATAAACAGGGACTCTCAGCGTTGCCACAGTGGTATATTTGAATCAAACAGGCCTACATCACATAAATCGGTTCGTTGTGGAAGGTATAATGCTATGAAAAAATCTATATAATGAAAACGGAAGAACAAAATAAATTCAGTGTCCTGGTAGATTGAGCTATCAATATGTTTAATATACTGCACTAGTATTTCCAACCCGCCAGATAGGTAGATTTTTGAATTTTTTTCTTATAAACTCATTCCATCAGACGGCCTGGAGAATTATGACGAGAAGTTTTTCTCGTCAAATCAACTGTCAGGAATAACATCTCTTAACCTTGTAGGTGTACAAACTCAATTTTTGAATACATGATTTTTTCAATTTTCAAGTTTCCACCCTATTTTCACACCCTCAGACAGCCTGGAAAACTATAACTTGAAGTTTTTTTTTGTCAAATAGATCATAAGGACTAACATATCTCAATTTTATAGGTGTACACATTCAATTTTCGAAGATACGATTTTTTCAACTTTACACCCCATTTTTACTCCCTCAGCTAGCCTGGAAAACTATGTCGTGAAGTTTTTCTCGTCAAATCGGGTATCAGGAATAACATATCTCGATCTTGTAGCTGTACAAACTCAATTTTCAAATATATGATTTATTAAAATTTCCAACCCATTTTCACCCCCTCAGACGGCCTGGAAAACTATGACGTTAAATATTTCTCGTCAAATCGGGTGTCAAGAATAACATATCTCAATCTTGTAGGTGCACACACTCAATTTTTAAATATATAAATATAACTGGAGTTTTTATCATCAAATCGTTATTTTTAACACCTCGACACGTCTTTTGATCACCAAGTGATGATCTTCAAAGAGGAAGATTAAAACCGTTTCAATATTTAAATTTTCCTCTTTGAAGATGATCACTTGGTGATCGAAACACGTGTCAAGGTGTTAAAAATAACGATTTGGTGTTGGGAAAAAACTCCAGTAATATTCATTACTACACCAAATGTTCCAAACAGTGCATCATGAATTTAAATATATAAATTTTTCAAGTTTCCACTCCATTTTCACCCCCTCAGACGGCCTAGAAAACTATGTCGTGAAGTTTTTCTCGTCAAATCAGGTGTCAGGACTAACATATCTCAATCTCGTAGGTGTACAAACTCAATTTTTGAATACATGATTTTTTCAAGTTTCCACCCCATTTTCACCCCCTCAGATGGCCTGGAAAACTGTGAAGTGAAGTTTTTCTTATCAAATGGGGTATCAGGAATAATATCTCTTGATATTGTAGGTGTACAAACTCAATTTTTGAATTTATGATTTTTCCAAGTTTCCATTTCATTTTCACCCCCTCAGACGGCCTTGAAAATTATAACGTGACGTTTTTTCAATCGAATAGATCATCAGGAATAACATATCTCAATTTTGTAGGTGTAAAAAGTCAATTTTTCATGTTACGATTTTTTCAAATATTTCCACCCTATTTTCACCCCTTTAGACAGTTTAATAAACTAGGAAGGTTATTTTTTACACTAAATCAGTAAATAGGCGTATCGTTGTGAAAAATGGTAGGTATGCAGTGTCGGTAAATGAAAAAATAATAATGTCATATTTTTTTCTCAGTGTACTTTGTGAATGTGGATAATTTCACACCCGTGAAGATCCATAGTAATTTGTTTTCTTATTTACATAGCTCGTAAACCGTCCTATACGGATATTACTATACATTACGATTCTACCCTTCCTTATCAACAGCATGATTCACAGATCAGTCAATATTCCTCTTTCAATGGATCCTACTTTTATTAAAGAACATAATATCATCAAGCAAATTGCGGTTAACAAAGGGTTTAAAGCCGAATTAATAAACAAAATACTTGCCAAGAAAGCCTAAACAAAAGCGATTCGAGACGTTTTTCTTATTGATAAGGTAAATAATCGAAATTATAGAGCTTCAACGTATTTTGGACAAACAACTGAAAAAGTGGCTTCATTTTTGAGAAAACGAGATATTAAAATTGCATATAGAATAAGTAATACGTTGGGAAAGTTAGTTGAAAATAATAAAGACAAAACATGCAAATTCCAGAAATTAGGAGTATATAAATTAAAGTGTGGAACGTGTCCTGAGATATATGTATATTGGTTAAACTAGCAGAACATTTAGGAATCGAATCCAGGAACATCATACGAACAAATTGAACATATTCAAATAATCTTCTAGAAGAAAATCATATCTTTAACGAAGAGTTCGAAATTTTGCGGATAGAAAATAATGGTTTGAAACAGAATCATTTGGAACCCTGGCATTTT